GGAATTAATTAACTAATTATAGTTGAGAGAAAATGTCATTATGTTTAATTAAACTGATTGCTTCATTCTTGATTTATATATAAAATACACATTCTTATCGGAACTTTATTGTTTAGCTTGAAGTCTTAAATGGAGCTTAAAACTTATTTCAAGACTCCCCGTGGCTAATCATCAATGCAAAAACCCTATTAGTGATTCAAAATCATTGTTAAAAACTTTTTTTTATATATTCAAAAGTGGGTGCTAGCATTTTTTAGCTATCCACAGCTATTATAGCAATTATCCATAGATATTAAGTTTGTGCCTTTTGTTACTAGGTTTCAATGGATATTTAAACAAATGCTTCTAACATATACATACATATATCTATGCACAATGGCCATAACTGTAGAAATTTGTCGAAAACTAAAAAACAAAAAAACAAAAAACAATTTATAAAAACTAAGTAAACATGCGGTTGTTGTGGATGTTCAAGCTGTTGTGAATGTTCTTCTTTGACTTTCAACTGTTAAAAAAAACAATACCAACAAGTAAGAGGTTCTAGTCGGAAGCTCCCGACTAGGGGATACCCTGAACCCTCTTCTTCCAACATTAAATGAATATTCTATTTTAGAAGCTATATGTCAAGTTTGGTGACTCTAGCTCTTATTATTTACCAAAATTGCCCAAAAAACAGGATATCGATATCGATTTTTATCGATTGCTTGGAAACGGAGTAAGTTATCGATTATCGGAAACAAACTCGATCTGCGCGGGAACTAGGAGCACCTACATCTAAAATATCAATTAGCTCTTATAGGTTCTGAGATCCTTGGGTTCATACATACAGACGGACGGACGGACAGACAGACGGACAATGCTAGATCGACTCGGCTATTGATGCTGATGAATAACATATATACTTTATGGGGTCGGAGATGCTTCCTTCTGCCTGTTACATACATTTGGCTTTCGCACAAATACAATATACCCTTATACCCATTTTTAATGGGTTCAGGGTATAAAAATATGGAATAAACTTGATTAAATTGAAGTGCATTAAGATTTTTCAATCGAATATTAATATTGATTGTATTTAAATAAAAATGATGATAAATAATAATATAAAATAGTGAACGCCTGCTGTCCTATTACCATATTTTATGAAACGCATTCAAGTCAATGAAGAAAACAAAAGAAGCATAAAGGTCCTGATTCAAGATTTAACCTGATCAAGCTTGAGCCATGCAATTAGACTTTATTCAATTGTTAGCTTTTTACTTCCTCTGCCAATTGTCCCATCTACACGCTTCAGTCGTAGTTCGCAATCGCAGTATACGAGCATTCGACTTGGATTTTCAACTCGTTTTTGATGGAGCTCCTTACATGACACTGATGTAAATGGGCTTCGTTTCCTTTTGTACCAATTGCCCTGATATTGTTTTATTTAATTTATTTTGCTATTTATTTGCTTTTCTGCATTTGCTAAGAAACACAGCTGCGGCAAATACACGCTTAATAAACAACGCGTGCCAAATGTAATTTGATGTTTGCTTTTCACGAAAATGTATACCAAATTTTATATTTAACCAACTGCTCGTTTGTGCTAAAGGCACTAAAGTAAGTTTGACGTTCCAGATCTTAAGTACGCCAAATTCCTAGCCGTTTGCATATCCCGGCCTTAACCATTCCAAGTTTTTCGCTTGAGATTTTACGTGGAAAATTTAAATTTATTCCATGAAAGTTGGAATCAATGTTTTCCGACCGTTCGTTAAGCCCTTAAATCGCACTTTTCATCCAAGAGTCAGAAGATGATCGAACGAAACTTAAATTTTGCACTTACCAGCTTTGCTTACCATTTGCCGCTGAGAATGGGTGGAGTTTCCGATTTTCCGATTTGGGCAGCGTATGATAAGCACACTTATTTCGGCTGGAGTAGCTGGTGCGTACGTTCGACTGCTTGGATCTGATATGATATGGTCTGGTCGAACTTAGCTTTTGCCGGGATATGCACACACTCACGCACACAACAATAGAGTACTTCAGCTATATCACACGCACACACAGCCAAACACTTACCTTGCACTTGCAAAATCAAGCTAAATGCGACCGACACTCAAGGACTCAGAGGATGTGTGTGCGTGCGTTTGTCTGTGTGTGTGTGCGTGTGAACAACTCTGCTGGCACATGAAAAAAGAAAAACGGCCAACGTCTGGCTTAACTGGCAAGTGTTTTACGGCCAGCTACACGAGCTACGAGGCGGGTTCGAAAGATGCAACATTTTTTAAATTATTGCCAACTTAAGCGAGTGGCTTGCTGCCACACACAATTGCAACAGTTGCAGCTTAAAACTCTGGTGGCCCCACCTGGTTGGTTGCAGGTGTTGCGTCGCGTTGTCAATTTGTTTAAGTGCATGTTACATAATGCAAGCGACGGTTGACAGTCGACAGCTGTTTTATTGTTGCCTTATTGACTGACTTAACGAGGACTCTGGCCGCCAATTTCATCAGCTGCCGTTCTGCAGGGGGCATCAAACCGGGAATCTCGTTTAATTTGCAGTCGTGCCAAAGTAAAATCCCATTAAAAGTCGTTTGGCTTTATGTTTGCTTCCTTTTTTTATATTTTCGTTTGTTTGTTTTTGTTTCTGTTTTCATTTGTATTTATCTCCGGCAAGGTTTTAAAAAGTTTGTCGGGTGTGCATGTAGTTTTTATTGTTGTGCCAAAGCACTGAACATTGTTTTTGTTGTTTTTTTTTAACTGCTGGCAAAAGTTCAGAGCACTCGTTTCGGTTTGATTATTTAAAAGGGTCCTTGAAGCAGAAAAGGTAGAGAGACAATAGCAAACGTAGTTTGTCCCCACTTCTCACTTCTCTCTAGTCTCTGTTGTAGGTAATAAAACTACTTAGAAGTTTGCTTACCTTGGGTGCAGCGTTTTCATACTCTTGTCAAGAGTATTCGCATATTGTCACGAATTTTGTAGCGCATAGTGAGGGACGTTTCCGATACCATATACAGACTCGATATAGACAGAACTTGGCATTTTTTAATCGAAACATTCTGCTTACATAGAGCCTAGCCTTATCAACGTCCTACTACCATATAAGATAGCTCTATACGAAAAATCGATCGAAAAACTTCATCTTTTCCGTACCAAATCGGAGTGCTACAATAACAATCTCATAATCAATCTCATATTTAGTCTTCGGCGAACAGAAAATGCCCTGTCTTTCTTTTAGATTCCAAAGAGGGACTTTGCAGCTAAATATTTTAATTACTTTAATTGAAAAATATATCTAAAATGCTTGTAAGTGGACTCTGTTCTAGTAAACAAGCCTTAAAATTTGCATTTATTGTATTCAAATAATTGTTTATTTCTCTATTTATTTAATTATTTATTTATGAAATTGTGAATAGGTTAGCCCGTTTTGCCTGCAGTTTATCGACAATTTAAAACAATTGTATCTAATTGATTTTCAACGATTGAATATTTAATTATTTTTAAAGCAAAAGCATGAACTAAAGTAATATGAATTTCTACAAATTCTATTATTAGAAATGTAATTAGGCCAAGAAATTATATGGGACAAAGGCACATAGAACAGCGAGAAAACTGAGGACAGATTTTTAATGAAACAATTTAATTGGCTGCCATATTTATAATATCCATTAAGCCGCAAGACTATTTTCATGACGTTTCAAATATGTTTCTGTACTTTACGGTCAACATTGAATCAAAACATGGCAAGCACACGCAGAAGTTGTTTAGGTTGTGCTATCCTACATATGGCCCAAGAACCAAACCAGTTTCTGATTGTAATTTAATCAATATAATCTAAACAAATTTTAAACAAAATCCGACCATTGCCATATAATTTTACGCTTAAACTCGACCCCCTTGTATAAGGTATCCTTTTATATGTTTTTCTAGTTCTAAATGTAATTCGACTTACAATAGGGTAAATCAAATTATTATTAAATTATTAAAATTTTAATGTACAAATTATTTTATTGTTGCTATATCTGTTGACATTATGCTGGCAAGGTCAACAATTTTGTACATTAAAAAAAACTTGCCTATGAAATATTTGTTACTAATTGATTTTATATTATACTTAGGAACCGGGCTCATCAAACGCGTTGAGAAACATTGAGCTCTGTGTTATTATTATCGTATAATGATTATAATCAGGAAAATGTGAAAATCTTGAGCTGTTGCCGTCCTTTCAATAAAATAGCTTCTGTGTCATTAGACATTTATTTTTAAACATATAATTATCAATATTTTTGTGCACGACACGAAGCCTGCTTCTGTACGACTGAAAATAAAACAGCAACAACAACAACAATAGCGAAAGGAATAATAAAAATACAATAACAAATTGCCTTAATTTGCCAAAATTGTCCCACAACAGAAGGGAAGGGAAGTTGGTGGCTGTCCACAAAGCGGAAGGCAGAGACAAAGGCTAAATTGAAGGCAAGGTCCTGGTCGTCGTGGATAGGCGCACAGCACGCAAAGTTCCCAGCCTAGAGGTGCCCTCGTAATTGGCCCCTCGCACGCAGCCGAAACGGCATTTTGTATTCAATTACCAGCTTGGAGGAGTCGGCCCCTTAAAGCAAACTGCTAATGGTCACCTTTGACCGGGGCGGGCTCAGTTTCATTTCGAATCGAACGCGGGCCAGATGACAAGTCGCATGGGTTAAGTGTTCTGGAATTTAGGAATTGAATTTAGCTGGAAGTACACGTGTGCCGCAATATTGAAAATAATGTATGTACATTTTCATAATACATACTGTAGTTGAAGACGCTTTCAATAATGTCCGCTTATCGTTCTATTAATATCAAAGCAGAGTGGCAGAGCAATTACAGCAGCTAATTAAATGCCGCCCACAGAATTCAATTATTTCAGGGGCAGGGCGAATGGGAGCTCAAGTGTGCTTCGTCCTGTATATGATTGCAGTATACAATTTAAGACATTCATTAACATTTATTGTCCATGTGCTTGGTCTTCCCTTTCCATGCAGAAGTCACCGCGCAGGCTTTCCAATTCATCCGTGCATGCGCTGCCCGAAAGTCGACGCCATTTGATGGAACTGGACGAGGGTGAGCTCTTCATGGAGCTGATACGCGACGTGGCCAATGAGCTGGACATTGATGTGCTCTGCCACAAGATATTGGTCAACGTCGGCCTGCTGACCCATGCGGATCGGGGATCCCTCTTTCTGGCCAAGGGCACGCCCAACAACAAGTATCTGGTGGCCAAACTGTTTGACGTCACACAAAAGACAGGTGAGCACCAAATACCAATACGAATTTTCGATTTCCAGCCATTGTCCATTGTCCAAATGTTGCTAGGCAACGAGCGATAGGCAAAACTGAATGCACTGCAAATGGAGAATGAGCCAAATGGTAGTCCGGTTTAATTAAGTGCGCCCTGCACAAAAAAAGATTCCAACTAACAATCGAATGCTGAATTCAATGCAGAGCTAAGGATATGCAGCAGGATGCAAAGTGATTCCGGCTTGAGGAGAATAATGCCTGAGCATATTAGGACCTGTTATTTAACAAAGGGCTCAAAATCACGAACATTTTTTTAGAAATAAATTGAAATTGTTGTTCAACTGAACAACTAGATTAACGTAGCTCACAGAAGCCACAGTGCTGAGTTTTAATGAAAATATAAGCTCAGATCTTAATTGCGAGGGTTGCGCTCTGTATTTTAGCTATGCCACAGCTTTGCATTTTTGTTCAATTTTTTTAAAGTGTTAATCGTAACATAAACAATTTATTCGCGTCAAAAAATTTAACTTCCTCGCATAAGTAAATTTTCTATAAAATATAATTCTACCTTCACTATTTGACCGAAGATAGCAAGATATGAAGGGCAACCCTCGCATAGCCATTTTTAACTTCAATTCCGAATCTTTCAATGCTAAATCTAAATGGAAAAACCATGAAGAATATCAGCTTATATTATAAATAAAACTTTTTGCTAAATATAAACTCGATGGACTTATGAGATTAGACAGCTTAAGCCATGAACTCCTAGCTGTGCAGAGATGCAAGATATACGTCATATTTTATATTTTATTAAAAAGTGAATTTCAATTTAATTAAAAAAATTGTTATTAGAGAAAATTAATTTCAATTATTGTTGCCGAACTCTCAACTGATTGAAAATGTGCATTAGGCAAGTTCCAGTGCAAATTGTCGACTACTTAACCCTCACAAATTGGCGCTCATTAGCGGCTAGGGCAAACACTCGGTTCGGTTGGACGGCGGAGGCGGGAAACGCATTAGCAAATTAAGCCTAAGCGGAAGCGGGCATTAAAAGTTTTTGGCAGGCCAGACCATAAAACTCAAAAGGTTGCTATCAAATGAAAAATAGATGCTGGCTAAAACGTGTTCAGGCAAACAGACTGGCAGTGAGCGAGAGGGTCGAGAGACAGGGGGAGATAGAGGTAGAGGTTAACAGACATACACACACAAACACATTTATTTGCAATGAATCTCGGTGTGTGTTTCGTGCGTTAAAGCCGCCTCTTCCGCTACATAATTCAGATGGCAAATGTTTGGGGGCAAGACGAAAAAAAGATTAGAGCTAGAGCATAACCAAGGTTTACTTTTTCGTACACACACACAAACATTCCGCACACCCACACATGAGTACAGCTACACATGTGAATTGGCCATGCAAATTCAACTGGGATACACGAGCTGCGAGCTGCAAGTCCCTGAACCAAAAGCCCGAGCCACATTTGACTTTTAGCGCCTTTGGCCTGGATTCCGGACTGGCATTTGTTGCTTTCAGCCATGGCTGATGTATCTTTCGCGTGGCAGACTGAATATTTTGTCTATAAATTTAATATTTATTTAGCTATGTGTGCGTTGACTTTGCCTTTTAATGATTTATGCGCCCTGCCTCTGCCCCTCTCCCATACAGCTCTCAAGGATGCGGTGACGCGGGCGCGAGCCGAGGAAATTATTATACCGTTTGGCATTGGCATCGCTGGCATGGTGGCGCAGACAAAGGAGATGATTAACATCAAGGAGGCATACATGGATGCGCGCTTCAATTGCGAAATCGATCTAAAGACCGGCTACAAAACAAATGCTATACTTTGCATGCCCATTTGCAATTACGAGGGCGACATCATAGGCGTGGCACAAATCATCAATAAAACGAATGGTAAATAGAATCCCAATCTCAATCCCAATCCCAATACTAATCCCCGTCGCAATGCCCATAAATTGGCTCACTTGTTACATTCGAGATTTTGACAAATGTTATACTGCAGGCTGCATGGAATTCGATGAGCACGATGTGGAAATATTTCGCAGATATTTAACATTCTGCGGCATTGGCATACAGAATGCACAGCTTTTCGAAATGTCCGTCCAGGAGTATAGGCGCAATCAAATCCTTTTGAATCTGGCGCGCAGCATCTTCGAGGAGCAGAACAATCTCGAGTGCCTTGTCACCAAAATCATGACCGAGGCCCGCGAGCTGCTCAAATGTGAACGCTGCTCGGTATTCCTGGTGGATCTGGACTGCTGCGAGGAGGTGAGTAAATGCCTAATGATGCCATAATAGCCACAGCTGCTGCCGTCAATTGTTAATGAATTCAAACGTTTTTGGCGCCGAATGTTGTTGCTGCTGCCGCCAAATTGTTGGCCTGCTTTTCCAAGTACATGGCACATGGCTGCAATGAAATGTTTTTCGCTGTCCGCCCACACATTTGGGGCGTGGCTGGTTGGCGGCCATGACTGTGGTCGTGGCTGAGTCGCTGTCAGTTTCATTAAAATTAAAATGGCTTAAACGCCAACGCGTCCATTTTGTGTGTCTGTTTGCCTGCCCGTCCGTTTGTCAAGTTAACTGTGAGCGCACCCCAAGGAAATTAAGATGTCCAATTCATATTACAATATTTCTTTTCTTTTTCTTTCTGTGTGTGTGTGCGCGCGTGTGTGTATGTTATATTTCTTTCATCCGCCGTAGCCGCCAAGCCGGAAGCCAACTAACTTCCAAAGGTAAATTAAGCCAAGACCAGGCAATTCCCACTGAGCTACTAAGCAACGAGTTCCATTGTCTTTTCTGCTTCCGCTCATTCTGTTAGGCCCGAACAAGCGCTTAATCTGCCAGCATACCTCTTCTGGCCTCTAGTTCCGACAGTTTGTGTGTAAGTACATGACACCCAAACAAACCACCTGTCCCTTGTTGACTCAATCCATAAGCAGAAACAAAACAATTGTACAAATGAACAGCCAAAATAAATGTTTTGTATGCGCGTCTGAGTAATCAGTTTTGCTTGGCTATTCTCTGCAAGCCGACTCGCATATAACTCATTTTATAAAAATATATAGTACTAAATATAATTATTTTAATGATAAACAGAGAATTTGACAGAAGCTACTGTTATTCAATATTGCTGTCTTACTTGTATTAGAATTGTTGCTTCAAACATGGTGTGACACAAAGAAGATAGTCTCTTCCATGCACTGCCCGAATGTGTTGTGTAGCGTTCATTTTGGTATTTAGAGAGAACAACATTGAGTGAGTAGAGCATAAGGACGAGGGAAATGTTCCTATTCGAACGTGCAGCTCAAAGTGAATGGAAATACTCTTAAGAAGGCATTTTTGTGATTACAACGATACTCGAGACTTGCTGTGCTGCCAATATGCCTAATTATAAGGAAAATATCAAAGAAATTAAACATTAAATTAAATTAACAATCTGCGCAGTCTATTTTCATAAATGGCTATATTTATTAAATAGCTTGTACGCTTATTTCTGCCTTATGCGGTAAGGTTTGCCCTCAATTTGAAACTTAATTGCAGAAAAATTAGCAAAGCAGACTTTTTGGATATTATTTTTTATTCGATTCTTTGCAAATTGAACGGTATAGACAAATTTTAGATAATTGTTTATTTTATGTGTAGATAATTGAATATATTTTCTAACATTATTTCTTGGTAAGAATAATGTACAAGTTTTGGTAGAGAATGTGAAGATTTTAAATAAAATTGCACTCAAAGCATAAATGAAAAGTATCTAAAAAATATATAAAAAGAAAACGTAAATACCTGGAAACATATTTGCGCTGATTTTTCGGAAAAGCACTTCGAAAATAATTTTCATTTCGGCTAAGCAACTTACACAAAATAAATTGCGCGACATTTAAAAATATCCCATAAATACTTGGAAAACTTTCATTTGCACTCAAGATACATATAAACTAAAATATATATAAATATCTTAAATATGCATAACATATAATGACAATTGTAAACTGTATTCTATGGCAACAATGCTAGGGTCCATTAATAGCCTGAACAGAGTGTAAAATGTAATTCATTTGGGTAACTAGGTCAAGCGTATTAATTATGATAATATTGTTTTTAGATATATTGCAATTTGTATGTTGTTCCATTCGGGGAAAGCAATGTTACTTTTTGTTTTTGTCAAACTATACTTATGGCACACTTTAAATGCCGATTGCTGTTGATTGCTTATTCATTGGGGTCTGCATTCAAATGTGATTACCCCACAAATTGCCAATTAACTCGTGTCCGATAACGTGAATACATTTATATATATATATATGTGTGTATATATGTATATTAATGCAAATTATGCCTGGCCACTTCAGTAAAGGTAGCTCGGGAAAAACTTGTTAAAAATATGCCAAGTCATGTGCAGCATATCCGTTAAATGATGTGCAACGCGGTGGCAGGTAAAAAACGTTAAGTGCTGCCTCAATGTTGTCCCAGTATAAGCAAAGGCAATTTATCAGCGGCTGCGCCTGCACGGGGAGCGGCTGTTGCTCCATTAGGGGCAGCCACTTAATGTCCATGTACCTTGCACATGCCCTTTTTTGCAGAGCCATTTGGAGAAGATAATCGAGAAGCCTCATCAGCTGGAGCAGCGCGCCACGCGTGCCATTAAAGACGGCGACAGTTTTGAGGAAAAGGTGAGCATTAACATTTTTCGTCCATTCAAATTTCACATATGCCATATCATATTAATTAATAATTTTCCTTATCCTTGTCCCTTGCAGCAGAAGATGCGCAATCGTTTCACTGTTCTCTTCGAGCTAGGTGGCGAATCTCAGGCGGCAAACGTATCCAGGCCCTCCATCAATGATCTGAGCCACTCGACGCTGGCGCAGATCGCACAATTTGTGGCCACCACCGGACAAACGGTGAACATTTGCGATGTTCACGATTGGGTCAGGGAGCACAATCAAATACGCGCCGAGGGAGAGATCGATAGCACACATGCCATACTCTGTATGCCCATTGTGAATGCCCAGAAGACGGTCATAGGCGTGGCACAATTGATAAACAAGGTGGGTAGCTAGCCCCTCATGTCTAAACTTCTGCACAGTACCTGCTGATGGGCTGTTGTTTCTGTGCAGGCGAGCGGTTTGCCCTTCACCGAATCGGATGCCTCCATATTTGAGGCGTTTGCCATATTCTGCGGACTGGGCATACACAACACACAGATGTACGAGAACGCCTGCAAGCTGATGGCCAAGCAGAAGGTGGCGCTGGAGTGCCTCAGCTATCATGCCACGGCCGGTCAGGATCAGACGGAGAAGCTCATACAGGATCCCATTGCCGAGGCCGAGACGTACAATTTGTACAGCTTCACCTTCACGGGTAAGTGTCGAAAAAGTCACCAGATCTTTGCACACGCTCTCTTATCCATCCCATCCAGACTTTGACCTGGTCGATGATGACACTTGTCGTGCAGTGCTGCGCATGTTTATGCAATGCAACCTAGTTTCACAGTTCCACATACCCTACGATGTAAGTATCATTGCCATGAAGGTGCTGTTGCACAATTCTGACAGCAAATCAACATTGAATTCTCTTCCAGGTGCTCTGTCGCTGGGTGCTGAGCGTACGCAAAAATTATCGCCCCGTCAAGTATCACAACTGGCGGCATGCTCTAAACGTGGCTCAGACAATGTTTGCCATGCTAAAGACGGGCAAAATGGAACGTTTTATGACCGATCTGGAGATACTTGGCCTGCTGGTGGCCTGTTTGTGTCACGATCTCGATCATCGCGGCACCAACAATGCATTCCAAACCAAAACCGAATCCCCATTGGCTATACTATATACCACCAGCACCATGGAGCATCATCATTTCGATCAGTGTGTTATGATACTCAACTCCGAGGGCAACAATATATTCCAGGTAATAATCATATATATTTATATGTGTATACAGAAAGTGGCGGATATTATCTGGCTCGGCTCTGGTAAAGTTTTATTTTCAAATAGTTAAACTTTCAACTCATGGGAGTTTGGTTATAAATTCATCCTTTTTGATGGATTTAATGATCCAAAAATTGCGGTTCTTAACATATTAATCAAATTTTAGATATTTACTTTTACTGCGCCGAGATATTTTTAAGAATGCCAATAGACGGGCCTGATTAGTTGATGTTTTGAATTATCAAACTTTCTATTGCCTATTATGACCGTATCGCGGATAAATGAAGTTCGATCCCGGAGAGATTTGTCCCTCGTAAACTTGTCATTCGAAACTTCATAGAATAGATGGGAAATAAAATGAAAAAATATGTTCGCAAAAATTGTGACGTAACAAATTACAAATTTTAACAATTTCGATAAAAACTTGAGTTGTTCCAAATAAATTCGTAAAATTATAAGGTTTTACCTTGACTTCCCGAAAGTAATTTGTCCCTGAAAGTATGCTATATAATTTCTATCGTTGGGGTAATTTCTTGCCATTTCTATTCGCCAGGTAATAATCATGCCCGGTCCAAATTTTCGAACCCGAAAGTATGCAGTCACATTTATCCCTGAAATGTTTTTTCCTTAATATTATTGCAAGAAATAGAATATACATTTCTCAGTATATATATCACAATATACTAATTCACTTTCTTTTAACAGGCGCTGTCGCCCGAAGATTACCGCTCAGTTATGAAGACTGTAGAAAGCGCTATACTTTCCACCGATTTGGCAATGTACTTTAAGAAGCGTAACGCATTTCTCGAACTGGTTGAAAATGGCGAATTTGACTGGCAGGGCGAGGAGAAGAAAGATTGTAAGTACTTGTGGCACATGTCGCGTATACTTAATATTTTTGAATCTGCCTTTAGTGCTGTGTGGCATGATGATGACGGCCTGCGATGTAAGTGCCATAGCCAAGCCCTGGGAGGTGCAGCATCGCGTGGCCAAGCTGGTGGCAGATGAGTTCTTCGACCAGGGCGATCTGGAGAAGCTGCAGCTGAACACGCAACCGGTGGCCATGATGGACAGGTGAATAAATCGATCAATTATAATATTATTGGATAATGTAACTGAATATTTGTAACCTTGCGCACAGGGAACGCAAGGATGAGCTGCCCAAAATGCAGGTGGGATTCATTGATGTCATTTGTTTGCCACTCTATCGCGTATTATGTGACACATTCCCATGGATAACGCCGCTGTACGAGGGTACGCTGGAGAATCGACGCAACTGGCAGGACTTAGCTGAAAAGGTGGAAATGGGCCTCACCTGGATCGATCATGATACGATTGACAAGCCAGTGGAGGAGTTTGCCGGCTGTGCCGATGAGGAGATCAAGGACATTGAGTTCACAGTGACCACGCTCAACTGCAATCAGCAGTCGCAGCATGGCGGCGACGATAGCCACACGCCGGAGCATCAGCGCAGCGGCTCACGGCTGAGCATCAAGAAGACCGGCGCCCTAGGCAAAGTAGTGCGCTCCAAGCTATCAAAGACGCTTTACAACAGCATGGATGGCTCCAAGCCGAAAACATCGCTCAAGCTGCTCGAGTCGCATGTCAGCGAGGATATGGATGACAAGAGTCCGACGAGCCCATCTCAGCCGCATTTAGGCAGCGTTGGGCGAATGTCGGCATCCTCATCCACATCGTCTGCCGGCACCGTCGACAAGAGCAAGAAACGCTCCAAGCTGTGCGCGTTATTATGACGAAAACCCTCCAATTAGAGTTTGCTGACCCCCTCCAGTGCGGCTGGCAGTGAGACTGACAAAAGCGGAGGGGGGCTGACCGACTTCTAATTGCCTGAACTTGGCTGGACAGTGTGCTAAGCAACAAATGCCAGCCAGCAAATCCTTACATTTAACATCTTGAATGACATTGTCTTAACTTACTACTATAGTATCTAATTTATGTGAAGTTCAAGTTGAATGAATACCTTTTTTTGGTTACTCTACGTGTATATGCCTATAAGTGGAGAACAACACATACAAACATACAAAACAGCAGAGATAATTGCAATATAATACCTAAGTGAATGTCAAATCATGTGATCTATTTAAGGTCCTAAAGGTCAAAGCGCATGCGCGTTATGCCTTTTGGTATACTCTCTCCTTCTCTCTAACTCTCTATTGGAATCCGAAACTTACCTGTAAGCTCTTAGGTGTTTGTACTCCGCTCGCAGCTAAAACCAAACACTATATCTACATAGATTATCAATATTAAGTAGTTCTCTTTCGTAATCGAACCGTGCTAGTCAAGCGTATGAAATACCAACTATATATAGCATATATACTTACATACATTCACACGTATGTTTATAGTATGTGTAACCTTCTGTATGTTTAAGCATGAAATTTAATGAGGCTATGACACATATTGGCTATCGAGGTTAATGTACCCAAAAACTATTACAACTAGTCCGCATGTGATATCTACATACACGTGTTGTACTCAACCTATGGTAACTTGTGGTTAAAGCTTTTACTATCTAGATGGCAAAACTAATAAAAACACAATCTACACTAAATTAACAATTAACTATAGTAAAGCACAATTTGTGTGTTAAATAGCAACACGCAATTAACATACTCATATATGTTTAGATAAACAACCAGAACTTGTGAAGAATATAAACTATAGCAATATTATATGATATTTCTAGACTAGCTAAATTACCTACCTATATATATAAAAAAAAAAATCAAAAGACACTCAAATAAATATGGTATGTACTTTGTCATTTGTGAGCACAGCACAGCATGGAAATATTGTAAAATTCATACATACCAACGTTTAAACATTCAAAAAAAAAAAAATAATAATAATAATTGTAATAATGAAAAACTTATTGTAGAGACAAAAATAAACACAAGATGCGTTGCGTGGCGTCAATTTTGTCAATTTTTGAATTCAACTCAAATCTAAATGACAGTTAAGCAAATCGTTAGTATATTCTATTAGCACCTATTCAATTAGTGATTAACTATTTATATTAACTAAAAGATATGCGCACTTTTGTGTATCCCAATCTCTCTATCTCTCAGAGCAAAGTTGCAAAGAATCTTACTTTATGTGTGTATAAAGCGGTCAAGTATATAGCGTATTCTAAAAATATATACTAATATAAATATAAATATATATATATATGGGACACTTGTAATTGTTTACAACCAATTGCTAATGCTTAAATGTAAATTATAGGCACCTCATTATTTGTGTAACTGCAGCAAAACAGTTGAAACAAAAACAAAAAGGAAAAAAAAAACGAAATACTATTTTTCTAACTATTCTGTCGCGCCATTTGAGAATCAAAATCCAGACAACTTTATGAACAAACCTAAGAACTTTTTTGAGTTTTTTTTTCAATTGCTTTGCTTTGAAGACCACCTCAATTGGTTTTCAAGGATAATGTGGTTTAATAAATGCCAACGATATGGTAATAAGTATGGACACAAACACAATCAGAACTTAAAGTACGCTTCAAATGTCCTTTGTCTTTTGTCCTTTGGCACTCACCCAAACTCTTCTTGGAAAGTATCCCATTTTGTGTAAATAAACAAATTTTGAGTTGATTTTGAAACAATGAAACCATTGTTAGGAGGCATTGCAATCGCTGTTTAAACGAAGTCCTCCTGCGTTTGAAGTCCTCTTCATTCTTATAAGTTTGCTGGAATTTATTAAAATTTTATTAATTTGTGTAATTACATATGTAAGAGAATGCAATTGAATCAAAAATAAATCACACCATTGAAAATTCTAAAAAGTTTACTCTTTTGTGGTTACATGATGTCTCCAAGTCGGCTATTTCTAGGGATCAGACACGAGCCGCGAAGAGACAGGCCGAAAATGCACAAGCCTTGGTATTTGGAAAACTACCGGAACGACTTTTGACCAAGGGGCGCAGTCATGTAACGTGCGACAAGGGTACAAAAACTATCTACTTGCTAAATAGTTTAGAGTAGATGACATTATAAAAGTCTCTTCCTACTCTATAAAGCTTGATATAGTCATCACAGAGGACACTGAATGAATGTCCTTTGGCCTAGTTCTTACAGCAGCTTGCTGCTGAGGCACTCCACTAAACATAATTTATTTAAAAAAGAGTATTAAAGCTAATTCTTAATCATTTTGCTTTTTGCCTAACCAGGTTTAAATTGGAATCGTTAATCAACCGTAGGGCAATCCTTGGTGATGTCTTCCTACGTAAGTTGTTTGTTGGCGACCTAGATTCTTCTTTTCTGTTAGGGCTTCTTTGTGCTTTGTAAAAATAACAATAGTTTGTATTCTGTTTTCTCCACCGAACATTCTCTACCCCAAATAAAGTCGTTGTTTTCAGGATACCTACGGGAACTCACTGACCATTCCCAGCTATGAGAAGCGGCATAGCTTGGCGGACAGCCTATAAATATTTCCCCACCGGGTCGGTGATTTCCCACTACTATCTCTTTATCCTATCTACCGAACACTCTATGTATCTAGTATACATTTCTTTCATTTACTTTATTAGAAACTTATTTCTTTCTTTTTTCTTATTTATTGTATTTAGTAATATTTATAATATAGTAAACTAAGACTATTTTTAATTTTACTTAGAACACTATTTTCTCTACTCTCTACTATTTTCTCTAAAACACCTCCATCTAACTAGGCTTATAGCATTTAATTTGCATAATGTATTGAATAATTAGGAAGACACTTGTTTTTGTCGACCATTAATAAATAAATAAAAAAAAGATCAGAAAAGAAAGGAAAATGTTTTCTGAATATGGCATATTTATTAATCAGAAACAAGTTAATTGTTGGCCTTAGCCCACAACCACAACACGCGCTTTATTTTGACGCTTCTTGAAGGACGCGGCAGGTGCTCGATTGCGATTAACTCTGATGCGGCGGACATTCGTGTACTGCAAATTGATCAACCTGACAACCTTTCGTCTGGGCTGGCGTCTGCCACGCACTGTTGTAGCCGTTGCAGCTGTTGCCTCCGTTGTGGATGTTGTCACTGATCCTGATGCTGCCTCCGTTGTGGTTGTTGTGAGGGCCAAGCACTCTGCGTCATCTGCGTTCAGCTCATCCGTGCAATCAACGCAGTCGGTCGGCACACCAGGCGATGTACAGACGACCGCCTCGCTATCCTTGATCAGGCAAAGGACCAACACGGCACAGCCCAATAATATTGCAAAGATTCTCATTTTATATTTATTTGCAGACGTTGACAGCCCGAAACTTTTTATAAAATATGGCCAATACTTCTGCTTTTATAGAAATTCGCAGGCTATACCAATTTTTCGCAAATTTGCACAGATGTATTTGATAATAATATTATTATTTTCTTTTGTTTTGCCTACTTCATAACAATGAAGTTTCTTCACTATGCGCGAAAAAAAGTTGTGTCTTTCATGTGATGTGGGATGAATAAGTAACACATATCGATACTTTTAGATATCTAGATATAGATATCAAAATATCTATCTATAGAAAAGAATTACATATATCTATATTTACTTTAGTCACAGCCTGGGCAGAACATTCATATTATAACTTTATATTAATTCTGTTTTTAAAATACTTTAAACTAAAAGTACACAAAGGCAACAAAGACCCTTCCAAGCACATTAATTAATATACCCAATTAGTTCAAATAAAAATGAATATATTGTTAACGTTTTTGCAATAAGGAGACTGCAAAATAATTAAACGACTTTCAGTCAAATTTAATACCCCATCAAGGTCGAATTGCGTGTTCACATTGCTGTTCAAATATTTGGGCTATATTTTTCCAAATGCCTATAAAACAAACTGTGTTTGCATTTGGTGTGCGTCGTTTCTGCTAGAGATTTTGGCCAGAGCCATAAAAGAGAATGTGAATATTAAATGTAGCATTTCATTTGATGGCTCATAGTCTAAAATTAATCGAACGACGCCCACATATGAGCTTGTTGTCAAGCCAAGCCGAGGACTTCTTTCTAGTGCAAGCAAATAGCGCAACGCGTTTGTCTGTCCGATGATGCTGTTGTCCTCGGATTTGTGACACGCACATAAAATGCTGCATAATCAAATATTAGCCATGGGGCGACTAGCGACTGGCAGCTAACGTTGCTTATTTGCCTGCGCCTGGCATATTTGCCCTGAAACTGACACGGACACCGCGCTTGGTCTGCGTGTGGCTCCCTGCTGTGATTTACCTAAGCGCCCGCCCAGTTACCCAACGTGCTCCGCGGACCCTATATAAGTGATGCCAGCAACTGGCATTAGTTCATTCCCAAGTTTCAAGTGGCTTGGTCCTGTTTCTGCTCTCTCCTGGATTTCTCTGGCTATGACTTGTTACGCGCTTACTTTGGCTCTACTGGCGCTGGCCGGCTGCATTTGCTGTACGTTCGCACGGGCCACGCCCGACGAGGAGCGCTACGTGGAAAAGGAGTATAATCGGGATCTGTATGACTGGATTAATAACGCAGTTCGATATGCGCCGGTCCAACCACCGGGTCCGCCCTGCAAGTATCCATACTTTCTGGATAACTCACTTAACCCGAATATGCGGATGCCAAAGCGAAACTCGGAACTGATAAACTCGCTGCTCAGTTTACCCAAAAACATGAATGATGCGGGCAAGTAAAGTGATTAATGTCCCGATGACCGATTGCTGATGAAAATATTAACAAATCAAATATTATATGCTTTCTATGAAACAGAGAAAAAAGACCGGATATAACTAAGTACATATGTCGCTTTGGAGATTCTATACGTGAACACAAATATATACATAATAAAACAATGTGAATAAAAACATACAAAAAAAAATTTATATTAATAAATAGTTTAATAAGCCTGGCCTGCGCTTCAGTAATAAATAAGTTTGTTTGCATACATATGACATATGACTCGAAGGATTCACCAATTGCCTTTCTGTTGCAACTGTGCAAAATATTCAAATTATTTTATGTTCAGTTTTTGGCAACTACGTCTACATTCTAAATAAAACTAACTAGAAAAAACTAAAATATCGAAAAAGTTTTAGAATTATTATCTAAACTGCGCACAATCAAACATTTATTTTCTAGTTTTGATTTCAATAGTTAACTTTTGTCGAAAAGTTCTTGTGGTTGGCTAAGCAAATACCTAAAACAAAAACAATAGAAGTCACAGCTGTCTAGCTAAAGCACATGCCGTGGCACGCATATTTGCTTATAACATTTTGAAGAAATTTGAGTTTTGTAGATTTTTATTAAAAATGAACAATTCTTCACTTGGTTACATGTATATATTTAAGTTCATTTGGCGCTATTTGAAATCGTTAAAGATTTGTATTGTATATAAAAGTTTATGCATTTTAACTATTTAAAGGTATGGTTTGTATTTTCTTCTCGTTTAGTAAGTATGTGCTACAATTATACATTTGTATTTGCACTAAAGCAGAATGTTTTAGATCAAGTTAAAATCGCAATCGTAAATTGCGTTACATATTTGAAATTAAATTAACAAATTATCGCACAACTTTGTTAAATTAGTAAAACAATAACATATGCAAAATGTGTGTGTGTTGTGTGTGTCTGTGTGTGTGTGTATGAGTTTGTATGTATAAGTAACTGTATGTAACTATGGTTTTTAGCCCAAATGCAGTTTCAGTAGCTTTTCACTTATTTAACTAGCAACGCGCCTCACTCGCATAAATACTCGTACTAACTAACTCGTTAAGGGTAAACTCTGCCTTGGCTAACAACTACACATCATATTGTTAAACATATCGCTTATGACTGCCGCTGTGACATCATTACAGCATACTTATGACTAATTCACGTGCTCCAAAAAAAAATTCAAACAAGAAAAACAAGCGCTGACTTGCTAAAGATTGCATCCTTGTAAGTATCGATCGCATTCTTGCACATTTTGAAATGTTTGTAAAGCTTTAGCGACACAGTTTTGGATTTTTGGGGGAACACACGAAATGGCTTCTGATTTGTTGCTGTTGATTTTGGATTAAACAGATATTTGTTGCCGGGATCTCTGACGTCTCACATGAAAAACTCATTTGCTGAATGCGAAAGCGGAAGTCACGTTCGCCCTGGACGATCAAATATGGTAATTTCTATGACACGAAGACCACGAAATGTTGGATCAATCAATTGCAGACCCTTTGGATTGTAAATGCGTTCATTTTGGGAAGCAACAAATTTGGAAATCTTGCGCAGCGTCTATGGGATGACATAAGAAAATTAGTTCAATTATTTAAATTACATAGGAATTCCCCCACACCTTTTCGTAATGTGTCTCGGAGCACATATATATCAAATACGCCGTAATACAACCTATGCAGCCCTCGCAGTAGGTGCTACACGAACCCTCCTCCGCCTCGGCATAAAATTCGTTAAGCCTATTGATGGTCGCCTCGAAGACATGACGTTCAATCTGCAAGTGAAAAACAGCTGGTGACTTTCCTTATGCAGTATAGGATTGCTTACCATTCCCTCCAGCTCAGGGGGCAGCCTTGTATGGAACTTCACTGAGGTGCCATCGCTGTAATCGCGCTGAATGAAGACCTTGCCGCCATGCAGGATGGTTGGATTGCCAGCTGATGGGGTGCCACCGCCTTGTGACATTATTCTTCTGTAAAGATTCCATAGCCCGTTAATTAGCTCCAATTGCAGCGATCGATACATTTGGTTAATCGCGATCATATTGCCCAAACAAACAAAACACAACAACAATTTTTCAAAGCCCACTTCGTCTGTGTCAGCACAAAAATGGGCAAATGTGAAAATTCCCTAAGGGCGAGGTTTGTGCCCATAGTGCTTTGTCACCTTGTGGCGAGATGATTATTGATAACTGATTATAGCCAAAACATTAGCCTTTAATCTCCTTTAAATCGGAATATTATTATCACAAACACGACTCACACATATTTTTCACAAACAAAACAATAAAGAGCAGCCACAACAAATCAAACGGTATGCGTGTTGTATTTAACATTCCAAAGTACACAACACTTTGTTGTCAAGGTAAATGCATTACAGTTTCTTGTTAACACTCAATTTGGGCAGATATTATATTAGTAATTGTTAAAATTAATGTACAATTTGCACTTACAATTCTCAACGCACGTAACGTGTACACAATGGCGTCTGGCCATTCACAGATTTCGCGTACAACTAATCAGCTGCTTGACAAAAACAGTGTGACCAGCACTTAGTGCTGCCAAAATGTAGACAGCCGTTTGTAATGTAGCGTTGCCAGATCGTCTGTTGAACGCTGTTGAGCGCCCAATAAAATTTGAATTCTTCTAAATAACCTTAAGCTGCATCGAACAATATTAAACTGCTTGTTTTAAAATAATTAATAAAGTGTAGAACACCTAAAAGTAATGGAAAATACTCAGATTAACAATCTTCTCCTAGAAAAGTTCGATGACGGCCGCAGTCAGAGATTTCAAAACATTCAACAAACGCATTCACATTGAATTATTTACACAGCTTGTCCCGATGTGAGCGTTTGCGCTTTTATTTCTTATTATTTATTCGAAAACTGTTGCTCTATTGGGAATGCTGACGGACGTAGTTTAGTATCTTGTTAATGTTCCAGCATGAGGGCTGGCTTCAGTTGCTATCAAACATGTCTTCTGATATTAATTTCTATAAAAATGATATCTTTCAAGGATTGTCGTGCCGTGCCCATTGTTGGCGGTCGCGTCGTTTCTAGCGTGGGCAGTATTTCAAAATAAATTTTATTTTAGAGAGTTATTGAAAATTCAATCACATTGCAGATGGCACTTCGATGTATCCTTATATGGTATCATTGCAAGATGTGTTTTCTGGATATGGAATCAACAGGAACGTCACCCAAATACGGATTTATCAGCATTTCTGCGGTGGAAGTTTAATAAGTGAACGCTGGATACTAACTGCTGCCCACTGTATCTGGAGAAAGTTAGTATATATTAATAAGATATGACCTTGACGTCAATTTCGTGTGCTTGCAGAAAACTTGACAAGATTGTGGCTTTTATTGGATACGAAAATATTGACAATGTTGAAAAATTAAAACCATATTGTGTGGAAAGCGCTGAATACATTTACTTTCAGCCGTAAGTATAAATAATTGGAATGATTAAAATATTTAAAATTTTGCAAGTAACTTTACTTTCCTAAGTTGGGTGATAAATTTAATTAAAGTATTCTTATAATACCACAGTTCCAACTACCGCAATGATATCGCTCTTCTCCATCTGAAACGCCCATTTAAAAGCCAACTGGGAGTGGACATGCAATTTGCTCAGCTGCCTCCGTACGGCATGAAACCCAACAGCAAGGGTTTGTAAACAAACTGATTAATTATAACTAATCCCTCGAATCCGCCTAAATGTATTTTAGAATCGTGTAGAATAATTGGTTATGGCGCCACCAGGCATGCTGGCCCATCCCAGAAGCAGCTCTTTGAGGCGGAGGTGCGTGTCATTGGCAACCAGCAGTGCCGCGATATTATTGGACACATTTGGGCACCTAAAAACGGAGCAAATACGGTGTGCGCATTGGGCCACAATCAGGACTCGTGCCAGGGCGATTCTGGTGGTCCGCTTATTTGTCAGTATGGAAACGGAGGACGCGAATACATTTACGGACTGGTGTCGCATGGGCTGACCTGCGGCATTCAGGGAATGCCCAGCATCTACACGGTGACACGACCCTATTACGACTGGGTCCAGCTACTTGTGCAGAACTACTAACGGCTATATATATAATTTATTAATTATACTATATCAAACAGAAAACATTTACGAATATATATGCTACGACAATGCAAGGAATAGTAAAAATAACAACAATTACGCATAGAAAACTTAGGCCTAGAGTAGTACTGGTAGTATTACAATCGTAACATTGTAGAATACGTATACATAGGTAGCATGTATGATCGATCGTATACTAACTTAACTAGTGGAACCCATCGACCAGCCTACACGGCTTGGTTGTGGCTCAATCTTACTGCTTTTCAGGCTTGCTCTCGGTCTCTTCGATGGCGGCGGGCGCTTCCTCAACCTTATCGGAAAGGTGTCCCGTGCCCGTTTCGGGCAGCGTAAGCGTTAGCAGGCCTGCTACTAGAACGCAACAGCCGCAGATTGTTGTCGGAATGTACCAGCCTAATGCGCCCAGCACATCGACCACATAGGGTGCCGAAATGGAACCGACATGCGCCCATGTGGAGCAGGTGCCCAGCGCCGAGTTACGTATTTCGGTGGGATACAGTTCTGCTGTGTAAAGCGTCACAACCGAGTAGGTGGCACTGATGCCAAAGCGACCCAACATGGCAAACGCAACGATCCACGTGGTGCTGCCAGCGGGCACAGAGAGCACCAACAGCAGCGATACGCCCGTCCACATGAACAGGAACATTGTGGTAATACGACGGCCCGTATAGCGCAGCATAATGACCGGCACCAGATACGAGGGTATGTCCACAACGCCAGTGGCTATAATATACAGATAGCGACTGACCGAGAGATTGGCGGCATTAAGAGCTACAAAGGGATTAATATTGGAATTAAGACTATTTTATTTGTTTGTATTATAGTTTTGATCTCAAGGTCTTACCCGTCACATAGTAACTGAGCGAGGTTACGCAGAACATGAAGTACGAGGTGAAGATTAGTTTGCGCACTTTCGGATTCGCAAAGAGCTCGATAATTGACTTAAGCGGACCATTCTTTAGCTTCTTGACAAGCGAATCATTCGGGATCGGTTCTAGCTGTAATCAGAAACAATAAATGAACGTTGTAGTTGAGTGTAACCGACTGCTCAATACTCTGCTCACAGTGCAATTACCGCTATCATGAATCGAAAAGATTCGGTTTGACTTATTGACTGACTCTCTGACTGTAACGCAAAGTGACTTGCAAACTGTAACTAGGAAATATATAACTGTGTGGAATATTTCGATATAAATATTCCACATTTTACGCCCTAACTCAATCGGACAGACTGACAGACTGACAGAACTCATTTTGCACATAACCATATACTCTGTTTTACCCTGTGAACAGAGTTTGAGTATATAAATGATTTTCGCTTGACAACTAGCGCATATGGCGAATGCATCTGGGAGATCTTTGTACAGACCGTTTTCTTATCGCTAACAATTTCGGTGGCTGGCGCAACTGTGGGCTGAACCTCATAATGGCTGGGCTGCTTGAAGAGAATTTGATAGACACGGTCGTAACGCTGTTTCGTTATGAGCCAGCGTGGGGATTCGTTCATCAAACTGGAAAAGAAACGGACAGAAATTATATAAGTTGGCAATTGCATTTACTAAGTTAACCTACTAGCAATTAAGGATCAGAAGCAGCGAGGGTATGGTCAATGCCAATTGCAGATAACGCCAGGGCTGTATCAGATAGCCCGCAATGGCCAGCAGGATCATGCCAACGGGATATGAGGCAGAGAAGGCAATCGACATCCAGGAACGATGCTTAAGGCAAATGTTCTCAACAACTAAAGCAAAAGTTAGTAATATAAGTACAACAAGCAGCAGGTCTTAAGGGAAGATACATACTCATCGTAAATGCAGGATAGAACAAACCGGACGAGGCAGCGCCCAAGGCGAAGCGGCCAATCAAAAAGAGACTGTACCAGGGCGAGAAGCTGCAAAAGATGCTGCCCACAACGAAGAAAGCGGCGCCCAACGTAAACGAAGTCTTGCGACCAAATCTACAAAAATTGAATATCGTTTTAAAGCAGCTAGTTGAACAACTCTCTAGCTTTAACTTACTTGTCAGCCAGTATGCCAAACGAGAAGGAGCCGCAGAATTTGCCTAGGGATAGGGAAACCTGGGCCGATGTGCGCTGAATGCTGCGCTCACAGGTCAGCTCCCAATCGGCAACGAATGTGGTCTCCGGATGCGAATACTCGTAGCTGCCCTTGGCCTTGCAGGACACCACCGTGGGCTGCTTGATCGCAGCCATGCGGCTGGTGTAGTTAAGTGCCGCCTCGTAGGACATCTGACTCAGCTGCTGGTAGTCCCAATCCCAGACCGTGCAACCGCCCGAGTTCAGATCATGCTCGCTGATGCTGCGCTTCTGGGCCAGCGTCCAGTTGGTGTTCCGCAGTTCGTCAATGCCGCACCACTGATCCTCGGGCAGATGGCCGAGCAGCGTGTACGACGACACATGGAATCCGTTCAAAATGTTGGGCGTAACGCAGAGAAAAAAGATGGCCCTGCAAACGGTAATGCAAATAGTTACAACTCTTTCCCAAATTGTTTGCTTAAGTACGCAATTCAGCGAAATTGCTGTGGCAACGTTTCACCTGGCGCTAATTAAAACATTTTACATATTTAGCAGGTATGGTATAGCGATATATAATTAACTATCCCTTGTTTATGCGATACGCTACTCCAATCTTTCACAAGTTAGCACAAAATGCTGATAATTGAAGGCGCCGCCGCTTGTTATTCCACATTATTATTAATAATATTAACGATCGGCGATCAAAATAAATGACGCCAACTGACAATTGCGAAAACAAAAAATTGTGAAGGTTAGTGACACATTCCAAAAGCCAAACACGATGCTAAACTTACAATTTTGGCCATTTAGTATGCAGCACATGATCTGATATACAATAACCAAAACAAATACAGCTACGCGTTCTAATACATTTATGTTGAGAGTGTTTTCAATGTAAACGGCGCGTCACCAAATTGTCAATCGAACCGGGCAACCGGAACACAATGCGCAATATTTACATATTCGGCATTTTTTAACGATCCCCGCCCCAGCCACTTCTGGGCAGAGGATCGTCAAAATTCAAAGCACTCAAAGTACGTTTTAAAGTTAATGTTGTTTTCGTCTTTTGGTTCTACACGTACGAGTCATAAGGCTAGTTTCGGTAGTTGAATGTACGGACACGGAGTACGTGTCCTTCGGGCACAGCCGCCCCCCACCCCCGTTTCGCATCAATATTGCATTCACTTTACTGACCCTCCTTGAGGCAGTGCAGCGATATAGACTCGAATTGAATCGAATAGAATATACAATATTAAAATGATTATTATAATGAGTACCGGTTTCAAATACGAGTATGTAGATTACTGGCCCGCTGCAATTCAAATCTGTTATCAGGCTCAATTGTATGCATTATCGTTAACGGACCTGATTTGCCTACTATAATTAAATCTAGTGCACTGATTTGACATCTCCGTACAAAGGTAATGTTATTTGCTGCTAAATACTCTTTCTCATCCATTACATATGTCACTCAAGTCGCGTGCCCAAACTATTATTGGGAAGTCAACTTCAACTACGGATAAGCCTTTAGATCTTGTCGGTACGTGCTGTTCGTTTTATAATATTTGAATCGCATATTATTTAAATTAGTTGTTCGTGCTTGGCATAAGATTTGCTTTACAGCTAATAGCTCTGACTAATGCTTAGACTAGTGTTAACCTAGTTTTCTTCAACTAAATCAGTTTCAAGTGCTTTGATTCCAGTTCTGAATCAGTTTCAGTTTGAGCTTGAACTTTTGAGTGGAACAGCTTTCATATAAATGGAATAGGTCATGTTATTAGAACTGATCAATTGTTTTCAGTTATGCACTTTCATTTCTTATAAAGATAACTTTCTGCTGATCTGGGAATATTTATGACGACATATATGTACATGTGCATAGGACAACCCCTCCTCACCAAACAAAGGCGCCGCTACTGCCAACAATTTCCAGCTGCTTTGTGAGCAAATCCTTCATGCTCTCCTCGCTGATGAGCTCCCTGGTCTTCTCCAGATTATCCTTGGACTGGGTCATTTTAGTAGTTTCTTTGTTTATCACAGAATATATATATATATATATATATATATATAAACACACAACACAGTGGTCAACAACAACAACAACGAACACAAATTGTATATATATATATGTGTGTGTGTGTGTGTGTGTATTGATAAGAGCTCAAATTCAGATTCTTTAGAAAAGAATTCGAAATTTTCTGGGTCGTTCACTCGCTTGAAGAACTTTATGCTGTGCGCATTTTGACACTGAACTTGCTTTTGAAACCAGATTCTGTAAGTCAATCTATTTATAATCTATGCCCATCAATTGCTCAATTGAAATTGCAATCACAAAAGTCGCGATTTAAATTCTGACATATATATATATATATATATATATATATATATATATATATGTAGCATATATGTGTATATTATGCACAAATATAGAATTTATTGCCGCCAATTGTCCGGCGATTACGAGTGCATTAACACGGCGTGTAGCCTCTGACACAAGAGTTTCACTGTCCCTCTTTCTGGTCGACTTCTCCTATTCCAGTGTCCACTGATAATACGCAGCCAGAAGGCGCCCGATCGGCCAAATGCAACGGGAATTGCGAGCGCAGTGTTGTTCTTTTTTTCTCTTTCTAATTTATTTTTATTTTTGTGGTTCTTGTTTTCGTTTTCACTTTCACTTATAAATTTTTTTTTTTTTTGGTAGCGACCTTTGCGGTTTATCTTTCCGTTCTATTTTCTAGATTCGCTTTATGCTTATGTTTTATTTTTTTTTGCTCAGCCCACGTTTGTTTTTCCTTTTCGCTTGTCAAAATTTTCTTATATGTTAAAATAAACATAAAATTGAATTCAATATCTGTTCCCAGTCTTTTTGGGCAGCTGCGCGCGGCAATGTTTCTAATTTTGAATGAACTCTCGAGCGCGTGTAGCATCTGCCAGATGAGATGCAGTCGCTTGTAATGCTACCAACTACTTGCCGCTTCGGAGGCGTCTCACAAACTAAGCCCACGGGAGGTCGATCGCAACATTTTGTACTAGCATACAGCCCGCCAGACAAAACAGACTGACATATACACTCACCCATAAGTAGTACATACGCACACTCATTACAAATACACGAATACGCTTGACTCTGTCTCTGCTTCTGTCTGTCGCGCTGTCTGGCTCTAGTTCGGAAACGTTCGGCTTCGGCTCTTCCCGTTCCATTTACTTATGCTTGGGATTTTGAGTTTAGTGTGTGTGCGTGCGTGTGTATTGTGTGTGTGTGTGTGTGTGTAATGCATTCCATTTTCGAAATCATTGCGCGTTTGAGGAGAGATTATTTTCAAGTGACAATAGCACTCTACACAGAACGGGAAGCAGCATATCAGACCATTTATACTTAAGCCACACTGATAGATCATAGGAAGATGGGAAATTGATTAAATAGGAATAGGTTAACTAATTCGAGCCTTATCTATTTAACCTTTTCATCGTTATAAAAATTAACAACCCCTCCAATAAAAAAAGTATTTAATGTAAAGTATATGGCTATATCAAAGCTTTCATATATTAAAATGTTTCAGTCATTTGAAATATAAATAAATTGCTAAAGCTAAAGGGCTTAGTAGCCCTCCTATCTCTAACTAGACCAAAAAGTAAATACACTTTGTTATGTCTAGTATATCAACAGGGTATTCTATCATGCACCTAAATGGTTTGCTAAGTATAACATTCATTACGATCTTTTTTCAGTGTAAGCATCGGTACATAGCTCAATATGTCAAACCGCATTATCATCCCTTACATATCCAACGTTTATAACTCATCAATCACCCTGCATTGCCGAACCTTTACATTCAGCACAGGATCTTCATTACAACTAGAGACAAATGCCGTTACAAACTAATGCTCGTTTGCTCTCAACAACAATGAAATAAGTATTTTACTTAGTATGTATGAGAGTGCATAGGAATTAAGCATTAATTTACAGTGCGCTCTGCTGTAATTCATATAATTTACATTTTGTCTACGTTTCATTACAAATTTACATTCGTATGGTCGATAATCGAGCGCCTGCCTTGTTTACATTATTGTTTTCTTCAATTCCGTTATTTTAAAGTACGTACTTAAGAGCAGCGCTCTTACTTTTTTCGGCTCTTTAAAATGCAAAGAGCAAAACACCATTGTAAATTGAAAGAAACACTGTGAATGAATATGGTTTAAATGCTGTGTAAATGATATGTTGATCCCCTGAAGCGGAAGGCATTTGAATTTATATCGCCTCTTGCTGGTCGAGTCTCTTTGTTCTGAATACAATGTTGTAATATTTATAATTTGTGGGAATAAAGATGAATATGTATTTGCGCTTGAGTAACTCTTAAACGTGCAATATAATCGCTATACACAAGGATTTGTTTTTTTTCTTTAATTGATTTGCTGGGAGCGACAACCTCAATCATTATGATGTTTAGACAATTTCTCAAACTGGAACCAGATGCATTGACCCCACTGAGTAATACCAATTGAGGTTAACTGTATTAACGTTTAGATAACATACCTCTCAAGAGCTCTCGACTCTGGCCAAGCTTAATTGATGGTTTTTACTACGTCAATCAATCGAGCGTACGATCGATACCGATATCGATGGAAATACGTAAGCAAGAGCCATGGCACTGTGCTCTGGAAAAGTGCAGGGTAAGCATCAGTCGACATTGTATTTAAGCTGCTTATTTTTTTTTTTTGTGGCTGTTGTTTAAATGTATCGCTTTAATTATTGTTCAGTTTTTCTCATGCATGTAATCATCCTGGTCACTCGTATTTTATTCATCTGTGAAAATTGCATAGCGCAGCGCATGTCTAACGGCGTTTGAGTACTGGCAATAATTCAGAGCAACAAAAGCAAGCAAAAGTTCTCTGGCCGGGAGTGCCCGATTGGCCGATACTCTAATCACAACCCCAGACTATCTATCATCTATACACATTTACAAGTATACAGGCATATTCTTATTTTGAATAACTTGCGAGCTTACATTCCGAACTTTATGAAATTTGTAGGTCTTGAATATATACCAAGTCCTTGAGTTGAGTTTGAGTTTTATTTTCCTTAGAACAAGGGTAAGGTATCCAAAAAGCTGAATTTTCTGGGTCTGTGTAAATCATTTAAAACCTATCACGACAAATTAAGTGAACTCTGAGATATAACAGAAATTTGTTTAACTCCATATTCTGGAAACAAAGTTTTAGATGATTCGAAGTAAAGATGAAATTTATTGTAATTAGGAGCTACATTCCAAATTTCTGTAGCTCTTATAGTCTCTGAGATTTCTGTAGCTCTTATAGTCTCTGAGATTGATATTCATAAAGACGGATGGCATATGTGTATATACCCTATGGAAACAGAGATGCCGTCTTCTGCCAAAATTACATACTCTTAGCACAGAACCATTACACCCTTGTCAATGGATAGAGGGTATACGCATTAAGCTTGGACGTTCTGACGGATGCATGACGATCCTCTGAGAGGTCGTAATTATTATGTGTATATAGAGATTCCATTGGCAGCTTGTTTTGTTTTCTCAATTGAGCTCGTAATGCACATGGGCGTGTACCGTTGACAATTTGATTGTGATTGGATAGGTAGGTCTTTGGCTTTGATGTTTTGTTGTTGTTGTTGTTGTTTTTGTTTGTGGGCAGCGCACGTGCAGCTATTGTTCGATTTTGGCCACAATTTCAAGTGCATGCACAGAGGTGCCAAACTTTTGAATACAGTTACGATTATGTATGGAGCACACGTCGTCAGTCCCAGTGCCCCGACCATGCCCATACTTTCACTCTCGGTCCAAGCAGTGCGCCCATTCGCAGGTGACATACATCCATCTGGTTGGCACTAATCTAATAAAAACTGACCTGATTCAATTAAAGTCAAATTGCCGAAAAACATTTATGATCCCGTATGCAAATGCCATATAAATAGAACTTATTCTAAAGCAAAATAAAGCCATAATATGCCCAAGCTGTAGAGATGTGCGATCTAATGAAATATTAAAAAAAATGTTATTATAGAGCATGGATAACATGGACAGAAAATATCAAGAGTGTGTATAAGGGGGCTAAGGTATTTTGTGAAAATCGCAAAACAATTTATGTATATGAATATAATAAATAATTTTATATTCATGACAATTTACGAGTTATACCTGCTGAACGTCTTGTTCAACTCGTTGGCAGCATTAATCAAAAATCAAACCGATTAACTTAACATTTAATTTATATTTACACAACAAATTTAGTTACTACCGAGATTTACGATTATCTTTAGACTTTCGTAACTCAATACAACAGGTATATCTGGAGCGTATATCTCATCCCTAAGAGCCCGGAGAGCTACTTGGTGACTGATTGAAATTTATGAATCCCAATTTGCTGGCCTGGCGTGGGTGGCGTGGATGGCATGGATGGCGTTGGCGCTTAAGTGAATGATTACCCGCAAGACGGACTTAGAATTATGCAAAAAAGAATAAATATAAGATGTGGAATTCACTCCAAATCTGGACCAAGCCGAGTTGAATTAAATGATTAGCTCGAGAAATGGGATTACGGCTAGCTAAATAATTGAGCGAGTGCCCGAGTGGGTCTATGATTCGACTAGGTGTATGGAAGTGCCCCCTGATATTTGCAATGTCAAAGTAATTGGGCGAGCACTTGAGCAGCAAAGTGAACCTAGCTAGGTTTACCCGAGGGAGCCATAGCCGAAATTGAGCAAACAGATTAGACCAATCACAAAGACGCCATAGAAGGTGATGTTATATAGATTGAGCCGGCTAAGCAGACCAGCAAAATAGCCGGGACTGGGGCCGGCATATCGATTCTTATCCTGCACATCCTGGAGATCCCGCCAGCAAACCACCTGTGGCCGGATTACAAAGAGCGCATTAATGGCCGCCCGTACGCCGCTCTCGACGGCACCGGCCATTAGATTCCGATCTCTGGTGGCAGCTGCAGCCGAACTGGACCAGATGACCCGATGCCAGGGCTTTATCTGCGGCTTGTGTATCGCCGTATTTAGCTCACAGGTCTCCTGTTTGTAGTGCACAGGATCGAGCATTTCCTCGCCAAACTGCGCCGCCAGCAGATCAAGCACAGTGCTCTGTACGCTGTCCGCCTCCTCCACGGTGTGCAGCATGTAGCCGCAGTATTCGTTCGAATTGAGCTCGTAGCCCACCACCAAGGGCCGAATGCTTAAAAACTGACCCGAATAGCCTTGGCTGATCCAAACGGGTTTGTTGTAGCGCATAGAGTATTGGGTTATCATACTCTTGGATTTCTTTGTGCGCCTGGAGGGTATGCGAAACTGTCTGGGCATCTGAGGCTCGAACTGCAGCTTGTTCACCTTGTCCCAGGGTATGGCCAGGATAACAGCTTCTGCCTTGTGCTTCTTGCCATGTGAATCTGTCACCTGAACATAGTTCTTAAAGTGTTCCACCTTTACAGCTTTCACATTGTTAAGGATCTCAGTGAACTTCAACTTTTCGCGCAGTGTCTCAAGTAGTTTTCCGCAGGACAAGCTCATGATGGACTCCGGCATGGCCAGCAAGCTGCAAGTGGATATTGTTAAAGTGCAAAAGAATATACCCCATGGATCTCCTACAGATCGATTAACACATTCAGTCCACCCGATGTGCTGCACAGACACATGAATTCATCGTAGTTAATATCGCTGGCTTGCATCCCGGAGGCCAAATGCACCAGCTGATACATGAAATCGCGGGACAGGTTGAAAAACAAGTTGGTGATTATGTGCCGCTCCATGGTTGGTATTCGCTCGCGGAACCTAAAGGAAGGCATCGAAAGACATTAGCGCATTTCTATGCTCCCCAATACCCCGTCCAATCTCAAACTAACTCATAACGCACGGAGCTAAACTTCTTCATACGCATGTCCAACATATTGATATAGCGCCAGAGCTCAAACTTGGCCGGAACTGAGGTCAGGCCGCGGTCCAGCTCCCAGCAGCGACTCAGCGTCCGTTCGTGTGGATCATGCTGGAACAGTGCCACATTCAGTTGCGTGAGGAAGGCAATCAGCTCCTTCTGCTCCTTGCTCACAAAACATGTTCCCTTTCCGCGCAGCTGCCCGCCGGGCTTGCTGTTCTCATCAATGATTTTCACATTCAGCGAATGCTCCTTGGACAATATTTTAACTGCTGAAGTAAGGCCCGACAGACCCGCGCCCACTATGAGTATATCGATCTGTGGTAGTTCGTTGCCAAAAGGTAAGTCCATTGGAAAAATTGTTTTGACATCTTAAATTTGTAAATCTGAAAGCAGAAGCAAATTAAGCTTAGCTTTTTTTTTCCTAAACCCAACCGAATAGATCCAGTCGATTTATATTGAGCCACTCAGAGCCAAATCTTTCAAACAAAATCGTATCTCTATTCTTGTGGCCAAACATATAGCATACTTTTTGGCTGCACTTAAAACTCCTGCATTGGGGAAGACTGCGTGAAGTTAGTCTTTAGGCTGGAAAACTGCGCATTTTCGGAGACGCGCTATCGATGAACAGTTTAATTACATTTAATTGGTTGCTTGTTGTTTTGAAAGACTTTTAAGCTAGCTAAATGAGTTGTCTGGGTGACCTAGTCGTTCAGCGAACTGAACAAGGAAGGTCTGATTGCAAATCTCTGACTTGTGTCTCCATATTGTCTTATCTCAGTGGTCAGTGATAACATTAATAATAATATTAATCATATTAAAAATATTTATACTATCAGTAATTATTGTGCCCCCTGGTACATGGGACCGTCCAATTTTAAAACAGACCTAGGCGTGCCCAAAGTCCGGGACACGTAATAAACATCACGCGACTTGAAAATCATCCCAATCATCTTGCTTGGCGTCTTCAAAAGAGACGTAGACTTGGAGTCCGTATGCGGAGGAGATTGCAAAGGTCTCTTCCAATTGACCTCCCAGATCGGAACCTATATTTGTTAAGTTTCTTATTTTAGACTCATCTATAGAATAAGTTATATTAGTATTTATTTATATAGCTTCAATTTAAGTTGTTTCTTTAATAATAGTTAAATTAAAAATAAAATAAAGTTAAATTAATTTAATTTTACAAGTTGCATACTTTTAGCGTCGAAATGAATTTAATTTTATATCGTCGTGGGCTTTAGAAACTTAAGCTTTGATACCCATGTGGAGGGTATTATAATTTATATAATTTTCTCCGACCCCATAAAGTATACATTTTTGAGTCTAATTGAGACAGAACTACTATATGATTTGACTCTCAAGAGGAATCGGTAGCAAAATGAGTTTTTGTATGACCGAATATTCATCAAACTCAGCATTTACGAGCTCACTGTGCTCACAAGTCTGCAAAATCGCCAGGCAAATGTATCCTAGGGTATTAAATATTCGGCGTGCCTTAGATATCATTACTAATATTAATGTCGAACCAATTGCTAAACGATTGTGTTTCAGTCCTGTAATTGCTTGTAATTAATTTAATTATATTTATTAAGAATCTGTAGTATTCATCAACTATTATTAACTACATTACTTTCCCTTTAAGCCCTCCAATCTTACTCTCGGCATTTTCATTGAATACTTCTGCTGCTTTGTTCTCCTAACTATTTTGACTTTGAGCATAAGGTATTCATGTGCCCTACATCTATGCTGTTTGTTTGCATAAACAATATGAATAAAGATCAAATAAGCTAAGGCTAATGAAATCAGCCTTCAAATATTATTTATGCCTGCTTAAGTTTCTTGTTTATCTAGCTATTAAACTTAATTCTAGTTTTTAAGGTTGCTAATGTCAATTTCATAAGCAAACTGCCGAATTAATTCGGTGAGGCAATAACTTCTCTTGATCTGTAAGAAAATGTGGTTTGCGGGGATTTACATAAATACTTTTAGGAAATCTATGTAAAAAGCGAAAGAAGAGCACATTCTCCAGCTCTACATCTTTCAATTTGAACATTAGGAAATTATTATAGTCTGAATTACCAGCTTAGACTCATATAATATACATATATCATGCAACACACACACATTAACTATTAACTAATACACGCACATTTACTTATACAAACCTATGTTTATGTACATAGCTAAACATTTAAATCAGTCATAGTCAAGGCTGTTGCTATGGTGCGTGGGGACTTAGTAACAAAGTTCGCGGCGTAATTCCTAAGAAAAAAACAAATAAAAATGACCTAGTCGGGTATGCTCGACTAGGAAATACCCAGCTACCCAGATACCTAGCCGGTATGCTCGACTAGGAGATACCCAGCAAGAATCTGCCGTTAAAAACCCTTACAAAATTTATAATGTTGTCTATATAGCACATCCAACACACTTACACACACATACATACATGCACTACTTAGCTGTGTTTCTTCTTTCCATAGCTATAGAATATGCTTCCCTGATTAACTCGGATGCTCATTGTTCAATCTTTTGGAAATTTTCAGGGCTTAAATATGACATCAAAATGTGTGTAAGTCCCAATGCCCAAGAATGTAGCTCTCAAAATGCTTCCTTGCCATTTGATCTAGTAAAATATTCGGTATGCTTCATCAGAATGTTGGTGTCTCAACAGGATGTCCATATTGATGTTATTTGATTTCTAACTTAATTCAAATCAATCTTCATCTTTTCTAGTGATAAAAGAACTTTCGTTTCAAAATTTGAAGTCTCTATACCAACAATTTATAAGCTCTGTCTTATATATATGGGCAGCCGAATGGACGAACGGACAGACAGACGAACAAGACGGACAAGTGTAGATCGAATCGGCTGTTGATGCTGCTCAGCAATATTTATTCACTTTATGGAATCGGAAAAGCTTTTTTCCGCCTGTAACATACATACATACACAAAAACATAATGCCCTCGTTTAAGCGATTATCAACGGGTTCAGGGTGTAAAAATATTCACTGCTGACACACTTGATAATAATAAACTGAAAATCAGGCTACAAATTATCATTACAATTGATAATTTATTTGCTCTGGATTTACTGATAGCACTTGGTACAATGAACCGCAGCCAAAGTGGAAAATTGTCGCCTGACTGTTAACGTTATCATCGCGAACAGCTTCGTCTGTGGCCCGAAGACCCACAGCAGATCTGGGTGTAAAACGAGAAGTAAAAATAAATGTATTTAATAAAGAATAAAGTTCAATGCTACCCAGACGGAGTGAATGTTTTGCTTTGTTTTAATGGACAATAAATGTAAATGAAATTGGGGTTCCACAAATGCGACGTGGTGCGATATTGGGTACAGTTTAGCGTATGAGTTGAAATACTTTTTCATCGAATAAATAAATGCAAATTGCGTAAATTCGCTGAAATGGCCAGTTGTGATCTGTCTTGAGGCACGATCCAGCCGCATCGCAATCAGCGGCGCGTCTCGTCGCCAAATTTGCCATTGAGCATGCTCTTCAGCTCCTCGGTGCCAGGCGTTCTCTGCTTTTTGCCGAAGTTCTCGCCATCCTCGATGGTCTCCGGCATCGGCTTGTTGAGCGTCTCGGGCAGCAGCAGCGACATCAGACCGGCAGTCAGCGAGAGCGCACCACAAATGACCAGTGGCAAGGGTCGCCAGATCTCGCCCAGCAGATTGAGATATGGCGCTAGAATGCCGCCCACGCGCGCCACCATCGAGGAGGCACCCAAGCCCACATTGCGCACCACAGTGGGAAACTGTTCGGCCGTAAAGATGTACACGGTGCCATAGGATGACGTGATGGCCAGCTTGCCAATCATGGCGCAGGCAATGAGCAGCCAGTTCATATCGCTCGGCACGACAATGGTCAGCAGCAGGCTAATCCCGGCAACCAGCATGGCGCCACAGAGTATGGTGCGGCGACCCCATCTGTTCAGGGTGAAGAGCAGCAGCAGATAGCCGGGTATCTCCACGGCGCCAGAGATCACAAAGTTGACCAGCTGATTGCCGCCCAGGTTGTTCGTGTTCCATGAAAGACCATAGTAGACGCCACTGTTGACGAACCAGTCGAAGAAGATAAGCAGCGTCTTGCGGCGCAGATTCGGATATCGCAGCAGATCGAACACGGATGCCGAGGGCTCTGCGGCGGCTAGCTCATCCTTGCGCTTCTTTTCGGCTGCCTCCTCGATAAGCTGCTCGTAGATTTCGCTGGGTATCTCCACTCGGTTGACCTTGGCCGCCTTCTCAATGATCACAAAGGCCTCCTCCTTGCGTCCCTTGGAGAGCAGCCAGCGCGCAGACTCGGGCACGATCCAATAGTAGCACATGAACAGCAGCCCGGGCAGCGTCAGCGCAATCTGCAGCCAGCGCCAGTCATGGATGAAGTAGGCGAAGCCCGCGGTCAGCATAAATCCCACCGAGAAGAACATTTGCACGGCGACGCCAGCAAACAGACGATACGAGGCGCCCACCATTTCCATGGCTATCACATAGGCCACCAGGAAGACGCCCGATGTGGTGGCGCCCACAATTAGCCGTGAGATGGTATAGGTGAAATAGTCCGGTGCCACGGCCGCAACCACGCCAAAGATTAGCTGCGTGACCAGCGAGGCAAAGAAGGTGGGCTTGCGTCCCAGCTTGTCGGACATCTGGCCAAAGATGAAGCTGCCCAGCAGCACGCCCACCATGAACAGCGAGTCGCTGGTGGCGCTCAGCAGGCTGCGGCTGCACACCATGTCCCACTCGGTGACTGCGCTATTCAGATACTTAGACTGATCGTAGACATAGCTGCTGCATTGCAGCGTTCCATTCTGCGCGGCCGGGTGATTGCCATTTAAATACTGCTCGGTGTAGCTGACATTGTAATAGGCACAGGTGTCCGGCTTGCCGGTGATGCTGTCGTTGGGATATGCCAGCGGCCATTGCTGCCGCGGCAGGGTATCAAAGCGCGCCGTGTCTGGATCCTCATGCGGCAGCAGGCAACGAAACTCTGGCCGTGCGAGCAGAAACACGCCGGCCAGCTTGTGGAAGGCGCAGACGATGGCCGGCAGGCAGAGCAGCAAGTAGATGCGCTTCTGATAGCGCCCAAATTCGCCCAGGTGCGCGATGACGTCGTCGTAGCCCATGATACCTGATAACGGCTAATCGATGCTCGATACGGTTGATTCAATTGCTCTTGCCCGATTGCTAATCACGGTGCACGCTGCTTGTTACGGTCGTATGACTTGGAGCACTTTGAACGCTTCCCCTCAAAACGTTAAAAGCTGTCGTCTTGCCCTATCAGTGATGGGGGTGTAAAGGTGGGGGGCGGCTCACAGCTCGTATTTTTGGCGTTGAGTATACGCCGCGTGTTGCCGATAAATGTTCGTGTTTTTGGGCAATAAACAACACAATGAATTGAGCGCTGCGAGTTTAGAATGTGCTCCTGATTTTTTGGAAATACATATGCATATATACATTTATATATATATGTATATATGTGTGTGTGTGTGTGTGTCTTTTGTGCTGTTGCGCTTATCAAAGTTGAAACGCGCTCGAAACGAACCGCTCGCGATCTGTGCCAGTACGCGACTAAGAGGTCTATGCAGCTGTTGTTGAATAACTCGACATCGACTTCGACTGGCTATCAACCAGCTCCGAGCAAACGACGCTCTGGCTCTGGCAATGTGCATAGTTCCAATCACAGCCCAGTTATGCTATGCATATCTATGACATTCTCACAGGTAGGCCCGGTCTAGCTACCCTTTTCGCATCTAGTTTCTAGGCCAAATGGGGGTTGATTCAGATGAGGGCCACAAAATTGCCACGCATTGTAGTATTCGATCGGTTATCGTGAAAGGCAACCAGCGAGAAATGCAGTTGGCAATATTCCATACAGATTGCATACCTTTCTCACTCTCTCTCTCCCGCTCTCTCTCACTATCTCTCTCTCTCTGTCTCCTCTGTCTCTCTGTTATCGCACGCGCTCAGCTCTCAGTATATATACATACACACATAATCTCTAGATTCGCAACTCTGTGTGAGCATCCAAACATTTTGAGCTACAGCTAATATTTATTCAAATAAACACAAACTTGACCGAGTCCACAATCTTAGATGTGCTGGGAAGGGGTGTGGAGGGGATCTTAGGCAATGTAAATAAACAATTTACGACAATTCAGTCGCATATACTATCATCTAAATTGTTGTTGTCAGCTGCCTTGGTTAATTTATAGAACTATATTTTTGCACTCAAGCCAATGAGTCGCTGTGCATTGGCATTAAATAAATAAATTTAATTATTTCACAGTCTTCAGGTTGTCAGTTCGCGTTTTTTCTTTCTTGTACCTGTAGAAAATGCAAGTCGTAATAATTCTAATGCGTTGCCAATTAGTTAAAGAGTATATTAGGCTATGTCTAAGATCTTTTGAATAAATTAGAAAATACTTAAAAATAACTCTTAGCTATCTCTTAAAATGTTGCAAATAGAGTAAATTACACTAGGGCAGAGTATAGTGTTCAACAATCTCCTGCCCAAGACGAAGCAGAGTATCTGGCAGTCGTTAAGTGCCGCCTGCAGTTGTGATGCTTGTTCAAAATTTAATTTACTCATGGCCTGTAAATGTCACGTGTTTCTTCGTTTTTTTGCTGATAACAAATACAAAAAAAAAAAACTAAAATAAAGAACAACATAGCGACAAAAGGTTTGAACAATTTTAAAAATTGGATTGAAACTGAACAAATCGTTTCCAAGAAGTTGCATTTATTTGCTTTGGTATAGAAAAAATACAATATTTGATTTTGAACATAAGTACACAGAGATAAGTACAATTGTCTAAAAATTCGTTTGCGCTTAAGTAGCTCATAAGTACATATTTATATATATATTTATATAATTATATATGAAATACATGCATAATACACTGTCTTAGTGGGCAGGGGCCAATTTGTTGGCTTGGAAGGACGGCTTCCGAGGACGCTCTCTGGGATTTGCCCTGATGCTCAAATAGAAGACAGGTAGGGCAAAAATAAACGAACCCCTTGTGCCGCCTCTGTGCCCTGCTAAATGCTTAAAGAGAAGAATTTTCTATGCGCTGTTTTCTTTTTTTTCCATATTTTTTTGGCATGCATGTGAGATTTTTGAAATATAATACTTTGTCTTTTATGGAACTAAATGTGTAGGAAAAATGTATCAAGATTCGTCAGCTCGAAGATTAATGACCCCAGGCAGCGCTTGGGTTAAGTATAATTACCTAACTTAATTAGTTGTTACCTGGCAAACCGCGTGGCCAGAGCAGAGTTTATTGTTTGTTTTTGTTTTTCCGTTCGTTTGCCTTTTCCTAGAATTTGTGACCATTGCCATTGGCCTGGACAGAGTTGAGCGGCTGCGTCTCGTGCGTTTCGCGCAGCTCTTTGCCCGTCTCCAGATACGCATCCGCCGGCTGCTTCTTGCCGAATCGCTCGCCGTCGGCAATTGTCTCCAACGTGGGCCTGTTGTGCGTCTCGGGCAGCAGCAGCGACAGACAGCCGGCGGCCAGCGAGAGGGCACCATAGATTACGAGCGGCAGTGGCGGCCAGAGGATGGCCAAGGCATTCAGATAGGGTGCCAGCATGCCCGTCAAGCGCGAGACCATGGAGGCAGCACCCATGCCCACGGTGCGCACCACCGTGGGGAACTGTTCGCTGGAGAAGAGATAGATGGTGCCATAGGAGCCGGTTATGGCCAGCTTGCCCACCATGGCGCACGTCACAGTCAGCCAGTGCATATCCTGCGGCACAATGATGGTCAGCAGTAGGCTGACGCCGGCAACCAGCATGCAGCCGCAGAGTATCGAGCGACGACCCCATCTGTTGAGCGTCAAGAGCAAAAAACAGTAGGCAGGTATTTCGACGGCGCCGGAGATCACAAAGTTGAGCAGCACATTGCCGCCCAGGTTGTTGGTGCTCCAGGAGAGACCATAGTAGACGCCGGTGCAGACCAGCCAATCGAAGAAGATGACCAGCGTCTTGCGTCGCAGATTCGGATAGTGCAGCAGATCCCATACAGAGGGTGGCCTTGCCTCCTCACAGTCATCATCAGTCTCATCCTGGCCCAGCTTCTGCTCCTCTTTGCAGCTGGCGCCTTCATCTAGCAACGCCTCTAACGCATCGGTCGTTATGTCCACACGATTGAAACGCGCCGCCTTCTGTATGACTTGGATGGCATCAGCCTTGCGTCCCTTAGACAGCAGCCAGCGCACAGACTCGGGTATAATCCAATAGTAGCACATGAACAGCAGCCCGGGCAGCGTCAGCGCAATCTGCAGCCAGCGCCAATCGTGGATGAAGTAGGCGAATGCGGCCGTCAGCATGTAGCCTATGGAGAAGAACATCATCACAAAGATGCCAGCGTACAGACGCTTGGCGGGACCGACCATTTCCATGGCTATCACATAGGCCACCAGGAACACGCCGGACGTGGTGGAGCCCACAACGATGCGCGCCAGGGTGTAGCTGAAGTATTCTGGCGCCACGCCCGCCACCACACCGAAGATCACCTGAATGACCAGCGAGGCAAAGAAGATGGGCTTGCGTCCGTACTTGTCGCTCAGCTGGCCAAAGATGATGCTGCCCAGCAGGACGCCCAGCATGAACATCGAGTCGCTGGTGGCCGCCAGGAAGCCGCGATCACAGACCAGATCGAACTCGGTGACGGCGCTGTTCTGGTACCTGGACTGGTCATAGATGTAGCGACTGCAGCTGTGCGTGTCATTGCTGGTCCTGTAGTAGCTACCGTTGGCATATGCCAGCTCGTAGTAGGCGCAGTTGTCCGTGGCCGGATAGGCGAGCTCCTTTAGCTGCGCGGGCAGCTCATAGCTGGCCGATTCGTCCAGATCCGTGGGCAGGGCACAACGGAAATCCGGCTTGGCGAGCAGAAAAACGCCGGCGAGCTTATGAAAGGCAACCGGTATGGATGTCAGACAGATCAGCGTATAGATGATCATCTGATACCGCCCGAAATCGCCCAGCTGCACGATAACCTCATCGTAGCCCATTCTCAGCTATGGCTGTCGTTCTGCTGTTCTGTTCCGCTTAACTCGACTGGCCGCTCCGGCAGCCCGTGAATCACTGAGGGTTTCTATTTCTATTTGCTTTCTTCGAGTGCGTATCTCGTGACGTTTTGCCGCTCAGCAGCGCGTCGCCGATGACGTGTACCTTGTACTCTGGACGCGAACGCGGTCGGACCAAAAGCTCAGCGAGCGCGCTTTGGTCAACAGACAAAACAATAGGAACAAATGCTGGCCGCTGCGCCGCAATTATGGGCCACAACACGTGTTTGTCAAATTTTTAAAGTGCAGAGCTGACGCAAAAGAAATGCTGGCGATTAATTCGCAATTTCGCAATTCCGCAGAAGAAACGAACGAACGGAAGAGAGCTAAGAAATTGAAGACCGAGGCGAAGCGTTTGCCCGCACACCGAATGGGAACTAAGCTGCGCGATTGAAGGCCGGCCAAAGACTGAGGCAATATTGTTGCCGACAACGACGACGACGACGACCACGACGCGATACCTTCCGATAGACTGGCCCATATATCCAAAAGCGAACGAGTATCCATCATGCACATGCTCGACGCGAAGCGAAGCGACGCTCTGTTTGTATCGGAGAAATGTTTATCCAGCCCAGAGAGAGAGAGAGAGAGAGAAAGAGAGAGAGAGAGGGGGCCGAGTGGCAGAGGGAGAGCTACCCCAAAGCATTGTTGGTAACAAAGCCAGAGGGGTTTCGAACGGGTTTTCACTTTAGGAACGGGCCAACTGAGCCAATATGACGCACCACTCGAGTATATCACATGTCCATCATGCTCCCAGACAAATTGTATAGTCTTATTTATCTAGACAGACTGCAGCTATGGAGCTGCACAAATAGCATTTGTACTTCCTGCAGATACATTATAATCGATGGCAAATATATTGTAAAAGTTCTACGTTCACTTTTGCTGGCAGCCCTGGCTTAAATTCTTGCATGTTATTGACATCAATGCAAGCCAAGCCGCCATACAAGTCAAGTAACACTTTTTGGACAATATGTGTGTGAAGATACCCTGGAATTTTTATGCCAAATCACATGGATATACTCTTGTAATAGATCAATAAGGAAAGCTTTTACAAAATCTGTCCGTTTCCCAGCTGGCAACTTTTATCCCAATATATCATCATTAATGTTCTTGCCTTTGACTAAGAGGTATTTGGTAGTCGTCCAACTTTGGGTGATTGATTTTTTGTTGAAGCATTCTCAGACGTGCGCTCAAATAAATAATGCCAAAGTTCTCGAATGGCTGCCAGTACAGGTTTCGACTTACGATAGCAGTTAATATGCGGCCGGGTTCATTTAACTCAATATTTCAATTCGGCATTTGTCAATGGCAATTATCGATTTATGGCAAGTCAATTGAGTAGAAATATATATTGAGAATCAGGCTGTACCAGCACCGAGCATCGTACGATATCTGCGTTACTATAATCAAACAGTCTCAATTAGACTCAATTAGTCGGCAGAATAGGGCTCGGGAGTTCCAGAAAATGCTGAAACTGCAATTCGATTCGATTTGGGTTTGAGTAAAAGAGTCATAATATACCTTAAAGGTTATCATCGAGCACAGATAGTCCCGATCTTATACCACATTTATGTAATCAAAGCTTTAACAGAAAAAAGTACAAAAAAACCGAAATTACATTTTATTTAATTACTTTGAACGATAAACCAATTATTTTATTACGTATTACCGAATCAGCTTGGAAGAGAAATGTATTTCTGTATGTTTATTTATTTTCGGAGATGAAAGCAGCTGAGAAATATTGTAGCTAATTAATCCATTAAGAGCAATGTTTACGGGCGAAACAAATCTCTCAGCGTCCGCAAGCCGCAAAATTCCAATTGAGGGCAACTTTGTAAAAAATCTAAAATTCATCAATTGCTCGTGCGCCCCGAATTTTCAACAAAAAGTGGCATGATTGATGGCCAAGTGGTTGGCCTAAGTCTTGTAAGCATTGGCCAATGCAGATTTGTAAACTCAAGAACTGCATTTCAATGCGAGACAGAGTTACATTTGAGATTAAAGCAAAAAAAAACTTGCCATTGCCATTTAAAACTAGATACAAGTCAAAGAATTCAAGCTGGTTAAACAAATCGTTGTTTTCATTGCAGCCTTTCAGGGATTGCGATTGCTAAAACTCCACTATTATGTCTAATGCATGTCAAACTGTATTGAAATTCATGTTAAGTGGACCCTAGACTTGAGAAAATTATTTAAAAAAATATTACAATCAATTACCAGCTATAAATTTGCTACAGAAAGCAATTAATAAACATTGCTTGATGTCATAAGAGATTAAACATGACGAAGTAGGCTGGCTACATTTACAATTCAAATTTCGATTTACCGCGCAAATGCCTGTAGATTAAAGATATCGCACACTCTTATCGGCATCACGTCGATTGTTGCTCACCATAAATGTATCTATGCAATCTAAAATGTCGCTAGCATCATTTATGGAAGCAACACAAAAAACCATGCAAAAGAGCGGCGGCGTTCATATTTCTAAGCTACTCAGCATGCGGCTATGGAAATGTTGCGCAACATTCTTCAAAATGTTGCAGCACTGTCATGAAAATATCGTATGCATTATCGTGCTATCGATGTATGCATGCCATTTTGAGTTTGGTACCGATAACGATATGTCGAATTGGACATCGCGGGCAGTCGAAAGATTAACATCGGACGCTGCGGTCGGTGCGCGCACTCAGCGCAATTAAATACGAGATCACATGAGATTTACTTAATAAACAAAACACTCCATTTAAATACGTCAACACAAAATTGTGTACGAGGGCATTTTCGCCTTCTGCAGCACATCACACTGCCAACTGGCAAAACAAATTAATAGAAGCCAAAAAACGGAAATTGGCGCGTGTTTTTATCCAAATTTGTTCGTAAGCATTCGGTTCGATTGTGTTTAATATTTTGCCAAAACGGAAAACGGGCAAAACAAACAAAACGAGCGAACCTGAAATCAAATATAAAGAAAAGACACCGGCTAAACGCTCCACAACGGCGCAGCAGCGGAAGCAGCAGCAATAAAAACAGCAACAGGTAAGCGCAACGGATTACAACAACAACAATAACTCATATTTGCCCTTTTGGCCGAGTTCCAAACTATGAGCTTGAGTTTGGTTTGCTTCGTTTCTGTTCGTATTTGTTTGTTGCCGTTTTGTATACCCTGTACGCATTGAAAATGAGTTAATAGCTTGGTACATATGTACATATGTAACATGCGGAAATATAACCAACTTCAACCTTATAAATTGTATCAATCAGCATCAGCAGCCGGAATAATAGTTCTCAAGGATCACCCTCAGATTAGATTAGATTTAGTTTTGACCTTTGCTCCATTAACCAATAAAATCGACTTACATATACATAGCGCTGGGTACAGGGTATTCGCTGGTCGCACACTCCCGACTAGAGCCTCTTGTTTTCTGTTGCGTTGGCGTTTTGGTTGCAGCAGATAGGCAAAAACGAAAACGCCGACTGCTGCACAAAACGTGACCCTGAATCGATTGGAAAAGAGGGCGCAGACGCGACATCCTCGCGGGGGTGAAACGACGTTTAATGTCAACAAAGACACCACCAACCGCAGCAGCAGCTGTCTCACCCGCACACACACACACACGCACACAGACACATATGCTATATATAGAATGTAAAGTCAAAAGGCAGAGCAAAAGACTCAAAACTCGAAAGATAGATTTGTATTGACGCCGGCGCAGTCATTATATGAAAACGTAAGACATTGTCCAGGGTCATTTTAATTGAGTGCGGAAATGAGCGTCTGAAGCCCCCCAGGCTGAAGGAGCAAATGTTCAGCCGAGTCGCTTACTGATGCCAGGCACATTTTGCTATTTAATTACGTTCCCTGAAAATGGAAACTAAAGACGTGACAAGCTCCTAGCGCATGCGCGTTTCCCTGTTAATCCATCACAAACAAAGGCTTCGCTCTCTGTCGCCCTTTCTCTCTCTCACACACACACACACATGCGTCCTCTCCCAAAGGTACACACACGCGGCACACAGATGCGCAGGCTCAGCAGTGCGCGCACTAATACACGCACATTTTACATTACTAATTAGAGATGGGCGCGTATCGTATGGGCGAGTGAGAAAATAATTGTTTTTCTTAGAGCTATAATATTAATTGTTTTTAAAGACACTGTATAATAAACATTTATTTAACTTTTTATGTTGATTTCCATCAAATATTCCGCAAATGTGGCCACAGAGGTGCACGAAATTTAAACACGTTGTGTTGGATCGTGTCACGAATCAAAACACGAAGCACGCTCAACTCCAGCACGGAGACACACAGCTATTTATATATTCGACAGCTCTGGTGTAAACACATTTGCAGAACTTGCATTCTGAAAGCCAATTAACGGGTTTAGCTGTACGACAATAACAATTTTTTTTTGTATTCTATATTTTTGGTTTCATATCTGGCCAAAAAGTTCATTGTTCGCCGTGTCACCCCTCGAGTAGCCGCCCGCTGATCGAGCAGCGCTGTGCACGCGCCACAGAACTGACACGACGATTCGTTCTCAAAATGTGATCGCCAATTGTTGCGATACACGTCCTTTGTCAAGCCCGACAGCTGGCCAACTTCCTCTGCCCAAAAAAAAAAAAAAAAACGAATAAATGTTGGCCAGACAACAATAGGGTTAGCTCCGTGAGAGATGCTCGTTAACCGAACAACGCCCCATTCAAGAGCATCTAAAGTGCGCTTGTGCGTTAGGAAATTTGCATATAATAAGAGAGAAACAGCTGTAGGTCACAGTGAAAGTTGCTGGATTAATTGCTGCCTTTGTTTCTTAGACACTGGGATTAGCATAAACCTACATATGCCTGTCTTACATATATTTTTCTTGTTTGTTTATCTTTCGATTATATCAAAACAAACTTCCGAAATGACTTAAGCTTAACTGAGATGTATCGCAATTTCCATTTACCACTTTTTTATTTTGATATCGCAAAATGTAACGGCATATCTGAAAATATGGGTGGGATTATAAATTAATCAAGTTAATTCACATTAACTTTTGTGGGTTAGTTTTAAAGCTTATTCAGAGTCAGTAGAAAATAAATATTAAATTTTCTGAAAAAAAAAAGATGAAATTAACAGAAAATCAAAATTTTTATGGTTTTTCTAAGCCAATAGTTGCAGTTTTTAAAATTCTATATCTATATCGTATAATTTCTGGATTATTATATTTTATAGAATTGAAATTTTGACGAGCTACGAAATACTTGCATTTCATTTTCCCATATGTCCATTTATGTTTCTGCACTAGTTGTCTTTTTTTTCCATATTCACAAATATCAGTATCTTGATTTTGTGTACGACCGTCTCACTGACAGCTGCACCATGCTAGATAAGAAGATAAGATTAATGAAATGATAACAGGTTGATTGGCAAGAACAAATACATAGCTCTGTATGCAGCTCACATGTTCTCACACATGCCCAAAATAAAAATGGCCCTAAACGCGTTTAGTTTATCTAAGTGTGTTTAAGGAAGTACTGAAAAGTATTCTTTAAAAAACTAACTAGCTGAAGATAACTGATTAATAAAAGGTTTGCTTGAGTATTTAAACATTAAGAATAAAATTGTATGATTTTCGAGTTAAGGTAAAATTCACAAAATTTCATGAACCTTTAATTTGTTTATATAGATCTTATACACATTTTAGTTTTTTGCAAATAAAGACAATAAATACGTTTTTAAAGGCACTTTGTGAGCTGCGTACCAGCTTGCAAAAAGTAAACACTTTCTTCCCTTTTTGTTTGGCTAGCTGCGTAAAGCAAAAAGAAAGAAGCTATCGCAATAAATGATAAATGCAGAGCATTTGTTTATTTACGTACTTAGTGCGTTTCAGAAGTGCACTTGCCAATTTGTGGAGGCCGCGATTTGTGACAGCCAAATGCGTCACGTTTGAGTAATGGAGTGTCTAGGGGGGAGGATCAAATGAATCTCAGCAAAACATATGGAAAATCTGTGAGCATATGTTGTGCTGCAGCAAGACAAATGCATGTGTGATGGGGCTCCAGTGAATCCGTCAGCATATGGCGTGGACTACCCCCTGGGAGCTGATGCCCCTCGGCAGCTGTTGTTGTTGTTTTAGTTGTTGTTGTTGTTGTTGTTGTTGTCTTCATGCCTGCTGCAGTTCGATGGAAATTCATGTTACTGTAAATGGGAGCTGTAGTAGGAAATGGCGAGCATTAATTGTTTCACTTTTCAATTGTTTATTGCTGGCTTTTCCTGTTTTTCACCCCATTTTTGTTTTTGTTTTATTATTTTTTTACGCTCAGCGTCTGCATTAATTGGTTCCACTTGCGCGAAGTTTAGCAGCGAAAATACAAATCTTTGGCCAAACTTGAAAATCAAACTCCAATTTGCAGGCGAGTCGTTGAACTGGGAAAGGTTGGTGTGCTCCAAGATCAAGTTAGATATCAATATTTGGAGCTTTCGACCTGCATGTTGGTCAAAAAAAAAACAAAGCTATCTTAGGCTTTGAGCGATTGTTCATAAAAGAGCCATATGATATAGCAGTCAGGTTCGATATCTTAGGAGAATAGTGAAGATCACAAGAGCTGGGTATGGACTAGATACAGCAATAAATCTCCTGTTAGCCGGACAAAATTTACCTATAGATCGTTGTAGTCACATACGATATGTCGGATATCTTAGGAGAATAATGAAGATCACAAGAGCTGGGTAGGGCCAAGATACTGTGAGAACTCTCCTAAATAACACTCAAAAAGGTGGATGCACCTCTTAAGCCGAGAAAATGTCGCTCAATATGGGTTTTTTCAGATATCTTAGCAGAGCAGTGAATTGAACAACGGCTGGGTATGGATACAGTAAGAACTCTTTTAAGCAAACACTCCTGTGAGGAGAATGTCCCTTTAAAGCGGCCAAAATGTACCTGAGGATCGTTGTCCGGCCATCAGAATTTTCACTAAATATTCTCTAAGAAAAGAGTTTTTCATAAAAACGTTTATTCCCAAGTTTTTTCTAAAAAAATTGGAGTGTTCTTGATAAGATTTTGCTTCTTTAGCATGGTTGAACTAACAAATGATCAATTTAGTGACAAGAACTGACTGATCGTTCATATTGCAGCTTAAGATATAGTGGACAGATACTGCTAATAACCATATTAATATACTGCCTGTAACAGTAAAAGGGGCCTATGTAGCGATATCTTTAAATCTGAGAGACTAGTTTGACGGACAGACCATTCGGCTGCTGATATTTCCCTGCGTTGGTCAAATCGTGACTAAATTAGAATACCCTCGATATAAAAACCAAAGCTAAAAACCTCGAAGCCAAAACTCAACTCGTTTTGGTAGCTGAGCTGTGCCGCATGCGCAGCATTTTGTTCGTTGCTTTACGGTACAGTGAACTCTAGCTCCGCTGCCAGCCTGAACCCGTGCGTGGCTGAAATCATGTTCCTGTGACGTTTGAGCCATAAATTTAACAGCTGCTGCTGCTGCTATTGTTGCAAATGTAATTGCTTTTCGAGCATTTCCTCTCATTCGCTCTGGCCTTTTTCGAAGATAGCTTTTGTGAGTTTTTCCGAAACCGAAAAACTTGGGGCTAGTTAGCCGCATGACTCATCAATGCTGGCAGTGCTTTTTTCTGCAGCTATTCTTTCTTTCTATTCGCTTTTTATTATTTCTTATTATTGTTATTTTTGTGCTGCATTTGGCCGGGGCAGCTGCAACAGTGCTGGAAAACAAGTTGAACTGGTTGCCACTTGCCACCATTGCGAAAATCCGTGCAACTGATATGCGCAGTTGCATGTGGACTGCTGCGGCTGCTGTTTGCCACGGTTCTGGTGGGCCCCCGCGTTCGAATCGGGAACCTGTCGCAAAAGCCACATGGACATTGGCACCGTTAGCGTCCCTGGGCCGAGCCTGCTGCTGCTGCTGCTGCTGCTGCCACCGAGTCCGACTGGTTGAACTTGATATTGAAACGCAGAAACGTGGCACTGACCATTAAGGCTGAAACTTGTTTTAAGCCCAGCCATTTCTTGGCC